TTTGCACAGAAATTGAACAAAAACATTTGATCCTTTTGGGATTCTTAACTAGTAGCATCCCTGGTGGGCAGGAAGATCTCCAGGGTTTGCTGGCCAGCCAGTCTAGTGGCAAAATGGCAAGCTCCAGGTTCAGTGGGAGACCCTGTCACAAGGGAACAAGGAAGAGAAGGAGGAAGCAGGATTTCGAATTCCACCTCTGACTTCAGCATACACGGACCCAGGTGGGTGTCTGTACCTGCACACACATGTGCAAGTACACGCACATCACATACACAAACAAAAGGAAACAGAGAAAAAAAAAGAAAAATCAGAACGACAAATTTGGGGCTTATACGTCCACACAGATTTTCCTGGAGAGAAAACACTTAACTTGAAGAGAATGTTTCCTTAGATCTTTGGGAATTTCATACATTATATTTTGATCATATTCACCCCTCTGCCAACTCCTCCCAGGCCCACCCACTCACACCCACCCAACTTTGTATCTTGGTTTTTCCTTAAGCAGTAAACGATCTCAAGAGGTTCTTGTAAGGATATATACCCTGAAAGTTGACGGTCGATGAGAGGAGAGGGGAGAGGAAGAAGGAAGCAAAGGCGGGAAGGAGGATGAGAGGGAGAGAGGAAAGGAAGGACAGAGGGAGAGGCAGGGAGATCTAGACCGGGAGGGAGAGAAGGGGAGAGGAGAGGAAGGACCTCATCAACAGTGAGAAAACGGGGACTGTGGAGCTGGCTCAGTCAGTGAAATATTTGCCACACAAGTCTGAGAACCCTAGTTCAGATCCCCAGCACCTAGAACGGGCACAGTGGCCCTTGGCAGTATTCCCGGCACTTCGGAGATGCAGAAAGGCACATCCTGGGGTTCATTGGCCAGCCAGCCTAGATGAACTGGTGAGGCCCAGGTTCAGTGAGGGACCCCCTCTCAAACACTCAAAGCAGTCAAGGAAGACACTTGATGACAACCTCTGGCCTCCACACACACGTGCACACAGTTGGAGGTACACACTCACAGGAATATGTACACACACTGCACACACACACAAAGAATGATGCACAGGTAGGCCGGCATCTACAGCTAACACAACACTCCCTCCAGGTCCCTTCCCATTTCGGTACCTCTTGTCCACACTTTCTACAAAATAATCAGACAAATGGTTTCAGGACACAGTTCCATTGGCTTCTGTTCTGGTTCCATTAGAATGTCCTTGGTGTCTAATTTCTTTCGGACTGTGCTAGAAACAGAGTCTTCTCTGGTGGATTTCCAAACCTTTAAGGGCCAGCCCTCACTCTAGATGCTCCCAGCACACCGAGCTGAACCGCCATTGTGTTAGCACCCTCACCCAGGAGCGGCGCGAAGTCAACCCTTCATGGCACAGCCTGTCTTTTCGAACTGCCTGATCTGGGTCCTCCCTCCCCTTCGGCTTTCTCCTCCAGTCCATTCTTGTGTGATCCTTCCCAAACACCCGTCAGCAGCTCTCTTAAAAACCTCCCTTCACTTATTTTCTAGAATTCATTTTATGAGACACTTCTTAACAGCCCTGGTCTTTAAAGGGTTTGCCAACCTCATAGCTGGAATGTAAGAGACCTAGTGAAATGACATCATACATCCGAAGAGAACTTGGATAATCCTCAAGTATTATGTTGTCTTGGTACCAGTGATAATGATGGGCGGGATGCTTAGTGCCTGGTTTCTATCCTTTCAAAAGCAAGAGTGTCACATGCTACAGTTCTGGTCAGTGGCAAAGAAGTCCTAAGGAATGACTTCTCTTCCTGAAAAAAGGACACAGAATTGGAAGAAAGTCTCTACTACCAGCTCTCTTTATCTGAGAGGTGGATGTGATGTCTAACCATTCAACTCTGTAGCCATGAAGACAAATTCACAGTCACGGGATGTGAATGGAGAAGAGCTGGAGTCCTAGAAGATATCACAGAGCAGGAGAGAGCAGCTTCCCCAGCCTTGGCCACCAGTCCAGACTTCTCAGAGGACACATATACCTCTGCAGTTTCTAACCTGGGTTTCATGAGATTTGGAATATGTGCATTTCTGTTGGCACACCAGCCGTCAGTCACCTACTTCATGAAGTCCATAGAATGGACCTCCATCAATTCACACTTTCCAACCTTACTGGGCTCTCATCATGATCCCTCTATCTTTTTACTGTCATTAGTGAGTTCCATCTCCTTTCCCCCTAGTGAATATATCTCACTGTCCTTATTCTCAGTAACCAACTCTTCCACCTAGTGAAGAGCCAATCAGAGCCAAGAGGATGGAACACATGTCATTTTCCATCATCTTCTCCAGTTGTGCCTTGAATTTATTCCCTCCTTCCCCTTTGAAAACCCCTCTACCTGTTCTCATCTTCTCTTCCCTCATCAGCTCACTGAGGTCAAGCTTGTGTATCTGAAGTTCACTGATGCCACTCTTGTGAATACTACAGATCATCTTCAAACTGCCGAATGGGGGAGGGGGGGCAGGCAATCCTGGATTCTAGCTGTCTTCACAAGAGCATTTGACTTCCTTGAGATGACCCATTCCTGTGGCTTCTGTGACTCTTGCTAAGTTCTGTGTATACCACCCATTCCTCTTCTCTGATTAAATGTTGGAGTTCCTCAGGTGCAATCCATGGCTTTTTCATGTTCCACGTGCTCTCTTTGGGTGGACCCATCTACATTCAAGACTGAGTCCCATGATGGGCAAGTATGTTTCTAACCACCCTCCAGCCACAAACAAAACACACTCAAGAGCTGTTAGAAAATATCGGAAGAGTGCAAAGGGGTTGAATATCCAGAGAGCCAAGATTCTTGAGAGAAGGAGAATCCAGGGGGATGGGCTCTTGCCCTCAATAGATGCCTCCTTTCCAAGGATGCCTAATCTCAGAAGAGCAGATGAACATAACAAGCTGCCTGAGATGAAATGTTGCTTTGTCTTGTGTCTCTTACTGTAGTATTTACTCAAAGAACTTCAAACTCTGATCCTGGAATTCCTCCTCCTCAATATCTTTCCAAGTATCGCGCATCCTCACCATCTCCTGCCACACTCCTTCAGATGAAGGTTCTTGGGTTTAAAACGACTTTCCTATTTGAACTCTCTGCTTCCAGGTTGTCCTTGAAGGTGATCTCTGAGTTCTCCCAAGTCACTCTACTGTCTAAACTGTTTTGATGACTCCATCTGATGCATTCTATAAACGATGCTGACGACAGCTTGTGTGGCTGACTCCTGAACACCACTCTATCTAATCTACTTCTCAATGGACACTCAGCCTGGAGTAGCAGATGAGCAGGACCACAATGAAACCCTGCTTGTTTGGTGTGATGGAGCATGCCTAGAATTCTAGCAGTCAGGAGGTTTCCAAAGGGTCAGCCTGGGCTGCATGGCCAGACCCTGTTTAAAACAAAAACAAAACACACACACACACACACACACACACACACACACACACACACACACACACACACACACACGTGTGCAAAAACCAACAAATAAAATGGCAAGTTTTTCTCCAGTGTTATACCACACATGGAATTCATATTTCCTCTTGGAAGATTTTGTCCACCTGTCCTCCCTAATTCCTGTCCCCTTGCTTCCCATCCCCCCTGCTTCCTGTCCCCCTGCTTCCTGTCCTCTATGCTTCCTGTCCCCCCCATTTCCCGTTCCCCCTGCTTCCTCCCCCCCACTTCCTGTCCCCTCTACTTCCTTTCCTCTCTGCTTCCTGTCCCATCCCCTCCTCCTGTCCTCCCTGCTTCTTGTACCCCTTCTTTTTCTCTTTCTCTTCCACCCCTCTTCCATTCCTATAATGTCCTCCTTAGCCAAGGAATAAGTAAGATCCCAACTTCATACAACAACCAGACACAAAAATGAATAGAAGATTTAAAGACAGACAACAATAAACAATAAGAACAGGGCGAAAGAAATGGCTCAGTGGTTAGGATCACTCACTGCCCTTGCAGCAGACCTGTGTTCAACTCCTGGTGTCCACATGGCAGCTCACAAATGTTGTAACCCTACTTCCAAAGGATCTCAAGCTCCCTCTGACTTCTATGGCTCTGGCACACACATGTTACATGTACAAACATTCAGGCACATATATGCATAAACTATAAATAAACATTTCAAAAATAGAAAGGTAGAAAACAAAACCACAAAAGCAGTGAGTAAAAACTTGCACGAATATTCTCTCTTCTTTACTGTCACAAGTACTGCCTGAGGGCCAGCTTCAACCTGCAGCTGATTTATTTTAAATGAAGGTCCATTGGCACATAGCTACATTGGTTTGTTTGTGGGTGCTTTTATAGGACAATGATTTTGAGTGGCCAGGACAGAGATGTTACGTGCTGCAAATATTGACTGGCTGGCTATTAACATATACACTTGACCCCTGAAATTAAAGAGAAATTCTACTGAAATGAGAAGACAAAGCATCTGAATAAATATGGCTTCAAAAGCATTGCTTCCTCAACACACACAAAAACAAAAGCCACATAACAAACAGACAACCACATTTGAAATAGGTGTGACACACAAAAGCTTAGCATTCCTGATACACCAAGTTTACAACATTGAAAGTTAAGAAATGGTAGGGGAGGCAGATGGCTTCGATAGACAACCAAAAGTGAAAAATAAAATAAATATTACATCATTTTCTGTCTAGTTAACAACCAAAAGAAGACAAATAAAATGAAATTTTGACCTCAGTTCACCTGAAAAAATATTGTAGGCTACTTAATAATTGACTACCAAATATTTTTAAAACATCAAGATTTTGTAATGACAATAGCTCAAAAAATTGGGGAACCTTTAAAGAGTTGGTAGAAATGGATTTTATGTGCCCTTTTAAAATAGAAAAATGAAAAATAATAATTTTTAAAAAGAAAGACATTTGACTTCTGAAGAGTGGCCGAAGTTAATTCCGTCCAGACAAGTTCAGCATAGGAATGCCTGTTCCGGTAGGAAGGGAAAACCCAGCTTGTTCTCTGGTAATATGCAACCGGCTGTCCAAACTTACTTTTCTCTGGAGCCAGGTGCACCTTGGCCTGGCCCCGCACCAGCCTGCAGGTGGAGCCGTCCCCTGCACAGACTCCACAGTTGTCTTCCTTGGCGGTACTTCCCAGCTGCCTGTCACAGCCCACGACCTGTGTGGGAAAGAGGGGTACGGCATCACTTAGGGTGTTACCTTGCTTCAGCTTCTAGGCTGGCTGTCTTAATGCGGACACTGTCTTGTAATGTCACTGATGGGATGTCTTAGAGTCTAAGATCACTTATGTGACTCTTGTGCAAGGCCCACACGTGGTTGCAGCTGTCTCCCTGAAACCTTACTCTCCTTTAGTCATACTTCAGATATCTGTGTGCCTATAAGAGATATTTCTCTTCCCCTTTTCTCTCTGACCCCTCGCCTTCCCTTGAGATAGTGGCCTTGAACTTGCTGTGTAGCTGAGGATGACACTGAGTATCCGGTCTTTCAGCTTCCACCGCCCAAGGGCTAACAGTGCAGGCCTGCTTCAGCACATCTGGTTCACGCAGTGCTGAAAGTGTAGGCCTGCTTCAGCACATCTGGTTCATACAGTGCTGACAGTGCAGGCCTGCTTCAGCACATCTGGTTCATGCAGTGCTGAGAGTGCAGGCCTGCTTCCGCACATCTGGTTCAGACAGTGCTGACAGTGCAGGCCTGCTTCAGCACATCTGGTTCAGGCAGTGCTGACAGTGCAGGCCTGCTTCCGCACATCTGGTTCAGGCAGTGCTGAGAGTGTAGGCCTGCTTCAGCACATCTGGTTCATACAGTGCTGACAGTGCAGGCCTGCTTCCGCACATCTGGTTCATACAGTGCTGACAGTGCAGGCCTGCTTCAGCACATCTGGTTCAGGCAGTGCTGACAGTGCAGGCCTGCTTCAGCACATCTGGTTCAGACAGTGCTGACAGTGCAGGCCTGCTTCCGCACATCTGGCTCAGGCAGTGCTGACAGTGCAGGAGGCCTGCTTCCGTACATCTGGTTCAGGCAGTGCTGAGAGTGCAGGAGGCCTGCTTCAGCACATTTGGTTCAGGCAGTGCTGACAGTGCAGGCCTGCTTCCGCACATCTGGTTCAGGCAGTGCTGACAGTGCAGGAGGCCTGCTTCCGCACATCTGGTTCAGGCAGTGCTGACAATGCAGGAGGCCTGCTTCACATCTGGTTCAGGCAGTGCTGAGAGTGCAGGAGGCCTGCTTCAGCACATCTGGTTCACGCAGTGCTGAGAGTGTAGGCCTGCTTCAGCACATCTGGTTCACGCAGTGCTGAGCACCAAGCTCTGATGCTGGGCAAGCACTGTATCGACTGGACTACATCCCCAGTGCCCCTTCCTACCCCTTCTTTCTCTCCAGCCCTACCCTTTCCCCTGACTCTCGTTTCTTGCACCCGATGTCTATGCCTCAGGCCCACAGCATCTCTGTACATGTGCTTCAACACGGAGAAATCCAGATGAACCCTACATCTGTACAGTTGCGTCTGCATTTCTTTCTGACCAGCTGCTCTTACACCTATGTTGCCACTCCATATGACTATGTCCACATGTCCACAAGTGATCTTAAAGAGAAAAGCTAGGAGCTATGTCCCATATGAACCGTGCTTGACTGTTTGTTACCTTTCAGTTTGTTGTGTTACTATGCCAGTGGGGTGTGTTAGATTGAAATCCTCCTTACAGGAGAAGGGCTGTTTCATATTTCTTTTCATGTTCACAAATAGGACTTTTGCATAAAGTGTGCCCAGTGATATTAACCAGTATATTAGTTTATCTCTACTTCCCACAGTCACTCAACTTTATACATAAACCTGGCATTGAAGTGCGGGGACTTTGGAGACAGACGGCCATGACAAACCCTGACTCACCCACCACATCTTTCCAAATGCAGGATGCTGGGCAATTTAGACTCTCAGAGTCTCATTTTCCTCAACAGTGAAGCAGAGATAAGGATGCCAATGTGTGTTTCACAGACGGTCTAGCAAGGGTTAAAGGATAAATGTTTTGCTAGGAGCAGTACAGTGACGGGGAGATTCTAGAGAGTTCTGCAAAGAGGTCAATCGGACTGTTTCTCTTCGTTGTTCATCTTGGACTCCAGGAGCCGGTATGCCGCAGTTGGCAGAGATGTCAAATCACGCTGTACTCCAGGTGCTGAAGGGAAAAGCGGAACTGGAGGGAGTTCAAACCACATCTATAGGCGAGTCTCTCCAAAACGTTGGTGTTGAAGGGAAGGAGAAGGACGGAATGAAAGCTTCAGAGCAAGACAGGAAACGTTCCAGGGCAATGAGGGAATAGCTGGGCTTTGAGATGTTTTCAGTCTCACCCCAGGATGTCGGGAGGGAAGGGTCTACACTGGCTATGTGTAATCACAAACGGAGAAAGCTACGGCCTTCGGCATTATTTACCTCCATGGGAGAAAGTCTCAACGCAGGACTCCCTGGTGGGAAAGCTGCAGTGGGTATTAAATTATTGGGTGAGCAACTGGATTCAATAACCTTTGTATCCTTTCCACCCTGATAAGATGACTTTAAAGACAATATTGGCGATAGCCAATTTTTTTTTTTAATTTGTGTGTGTGCATGTATGTTACTGTATGAGTCCAGGAGCATACACACCAGGGGACAGATGTGACAGCCAGAGGACAACATTGGGTGTTGGCCCTTGCCTTCCTTAGCTGGCCCATGAACTCCCAGGAATCCTCCTATTCCTGCCTCCCCAGAGCTGAGATTAGAGATGCAAGCTGCCGTATCCAGCTTTTTGTAAGTTCTAAGGATCCAAACTCAGGTCCGTGTGCTTACGTGGCAAGCACTTCACCCACAGCCCTGTAACAGGGTGCTGAGTCTGACTGGAGGCTCACCATATGTCTGGCATGGTGCCTCAAATGCTGCCCCTGCTCTCTCAAGGTCTTCTCTGCAACCATCTTGTGACCTTCTCTCTGTGAGACCTTTTACCTCTGTCTTACAGATAAGGAGCCTGTGGGCACATGGCTGGAGCTGAACGACTTGTCCCCATTACACAGACAGCACGCAGCACCAGTGATAGTTCTAAACCCCTGACCCTCTAAGCCAGTGGTTCTCAACCTTCCTAAGGCTGCAGTCCTTTAATACAGAGCCTCATGGTGTGGTGACCCCCAACCATACAATTATTTCATTGCTACTTCATAACTGTAATTTTGCTACTGTTACGAATGGTGATGTAAAAATCTGATATGCAGGATATTTGAGATGCAAGCCTCCCGAGGGGTCGAGACCCACAGGTTGAGAACTGCTGCTTGAAGCAGAATCCCACCAGTGTGCCACACCTTCATGCACCTTTGCTCTCAGCAGAAAGACAACGAGGTTCCCTGTTACAGAGGACTTTATATGAATATTTACAAGCACATGTGGAACCGCTTAAGGGTGATTGATTCTGGAAACACACTTGCATGGTTGGGACCGGACCAGTGAGTAACTGTGTTCGTGAAACTTTCCCCATGGGAAATAATTCCGCCATGAAATTATAGACACCATCTTCCTGGGCCAAGCTCTGTCCTCACATGTCGCTGTCCCTGAGCGCTTTGCATTTCATGAGGATGAGAGTCACTCTCTCTCTGCTCATCCAGGAAGGGCGTGTGCTGAAAAGCTAGGATGGGCTTATTTTGAAGAGTGTTTGGGGCCTTGCAAAATCTTGGGCAATCGAATCCCTCCCCAGCACTTGTATTTGCTTCCTAATTTTTTTTTAAAGTTAAAATTCATCCAAATCTTACAGCCAAACAAAGCATGTGAAAACATCACAGAAAAATGATATTTGAAAAGGTCTGATTGCTCTGTGATTCATCAAGTGCGAGGCAGAGCTGACCTTGAAATTGAAGCAGACTGAATGCAGGCTTGCTAGATCCTCCACAGAGAACAATGAGCAACTCCTAAAACATTATCTGAAGTGTTTTCAACTTCTGTGACATCTCCTAATGTCAAGATCCCTAATTACAGTGATTCATAAGCTACTAACTGATAAACCCATCAAGCATATTAACATCAATTAAATTATCCTTTTCTCTAATGCCAAGCATAAAAGTATAAATCAATAAGACAAGATTCTTATCTTATAGCACAGTTAATGGGACAAGTTAAAAGTTGCAAGACACAGGATAACATAAACACAGATTTAAATATATGAGCAATGATTTTTGGAAGACATATTCATTTATAAACAGAACTTCAGCAAAGACTATTGCAAAGTTCAGGCGATTGGAGTTTAAATAAGCGCCATTAATCCAAATTAAGCAAAATGTGAATTTTCCAGATAAATCAAATTTAATCCTTCAAGAACTAAACCATTTTTTGAATGAACTTCTTGCTTGATACCTCTAAAAACTGGATGTTACTTGAGAGAAAATCCGAAACTGAGCTGGTGCCTAACTAGAAGCTTTATGCCTACAGATAGTGTTCATGGTCCTGGAAGGTATTCTGTACACTACCGGAGAAAAAGAAGTAATCGTCAATAGCACACAGCTACAACCCTGGGGACCCACAACAGCAACCTGTCTGCCAGATACATGGGTGCAACTCTGGCACAAAGGTTATGGGAGTCGTCAGCCAGGTTTTTTAGAGCGAATTTAAAGCCTGCTCCATGAGATGGAACCCATGTCTGGAAATGCTGAAATGTCCAAGAACCTAAGACTAGATCGGTCATGGGCCCTGGGGGAAAACCTACGACTATTATTCCACTAAAGGAACATAAAACGACTCCTAATGACATCACTGTCTCACTTGACTTTCATCGGAGAAGATTCCCCTTGCATGGAAATTAATAGAGATCCATAACTGGACAATGTGCAAAGAATGAGAGACTTTGGAACACTCAATCCTACATGGAATGTCTTCACCAAACCCCTCCTCTCAAGGCTCCAGGATCAATCTGTGCAGAACAGGAGGTAGAAAGACTGTAAGTGCCAGGGATGCTGGATGACTCCAAGGAAATAGTATCACCAAGATACAAACAGGACTGCTGCACACAGGAGCTCACAGAAACTGTGGCAGCACACGAAAGTCCCACACAGGGTCAGACCAGACAAAGTCCCAGCATGGAGAAGGGGAAGGGGACACAGTCCCACCCCTAACCAAGAAGCTACGTGCAATTGGTACCTGCTGGGAAAGAGAAATCA